GGTTCCCCTACCAAAATAGACCACAGACAAAAATCGGGTACCAACTTCTGCTAACCACTCAAATCTGGAGGACCTAGTAGTCGTTAACAAACTATTTGGGTCTTTTTATGACTCCCCTCGGGAAGTCTGCCAAAACCGCGATTTTTTCCTCTGGAACACCACGACAATGTCAACGTAGCAACAAACCAACTCAGTCGCTCACAGTTCGCACGTGGCTGGGCGCAGGGCAACTACCTGGACGCTTTTCAGTGGAGCCTGCCCCGTTTTGCCGCGACTGGACGGGCCGTGGCGTTTGTCCCGGGTTTCGTACAGGGTTTTATGAGTTGCATGACTTCCATTTGGTTAAGACTATTTTGTATTTTCCCCTGTTGCTTTTAAAGGGAATCTATCACTACTGGAAATAGTTTTTTCCACAGGACTTAAGCAAATGGAGGGTTGCATGAGGAACCCGCGTTTCCATGGGGTTTTGTCCCAGTTGGGAGAATGAAGCCTCTCAAAACTGGGAGAAAGCGAACCGGACCTGACTGACAATGCCCCCCCCAAACACAAACAACTATGGGTCACCAACCGTCACCCATGTGGCTTTAACGCCTACCCTTGCCATGGCGCTGACTCCGAATATATTGGCATGCGCTGCGCTCACGTGCGCAAAGCGAATGGACCGTTCCAAGCTGTTCGCGTCTTCAAATGCAAACACAGATCGGTGGTTTCATTTGGTCTCCTGCAAGACAATTCCAAACGAGTATCCTCGAAAGAGAGACCTGTTTCAATTTATAACATAGGTTCCATAAGGTTAACCTGGGGGTTTAGGGGGATGCCCAAGATTCCGACCCTAGTGGGTTTTGTTTTGGGTTTCTTCCATCGGAAAATCTGCAGTGTACCCACGGCAAGTGAAGCCGCCTTGACATGTCACCTGAGGTTTGTTTCCCAGGCACCAGTTGGTACGTGGCTGGGCCCACTTTTCAGATGGTTTGAAAGGGTCTCATAGGGTTTTCATAGGGTGTTAAGTCCCACTTTGGATGGACAGCATAGATTCCTCCATTCAGAGAATCCAGTTAGTGTCAAACAGGTAATTTTTGAGGATTGCAAAGGGGTCATCAGAATGGTATGGAGTCGGACAGGCATATGCAGGGTCGATAAAAACTGTGTGGGCCCAAACACTATTTGGATGCTTGTTGGAAGCCATGCCAGTGGTGTGTTTACATTGGCAACACATATGGGTGTGTGTGTGTATTTTAGGGGACCCCCCAGAATATGTTTTGTTTTTTGTGCTTTCCTCTTAAAACCAACAACAACGGGGTATTCAGAGATAAGACACACCCATGTAGCAGTTGACCTTAATGCCCCCAAGAGAGCAACACTAAAAAGATATAGGGCTCGATCTCCATGATGTTTAAAGGCTGCATGTATACGTCCATGTATGAACCCCTGGTATGAACCCCTAATTGGGTTAACTATCCGTTTATGGCTTGATTCTGGAAAATCAGCCCGTAAAGGGTTTAAAATGGCAATGGCTTTAGATATAGGGCCTGTAAATTCAGCCTTTGAGTTCTTGCAACTCTGAACGCTGTCGCAATGGCTTCAGCTCAAAACACCTGCCACTGGCGCTACTTGGGCACATGGGTCAGCCCCCATCACCCAACCACCCAACCACCCAACCACCCAACCAACCACGCAACCACACCCAACCACCCAGCCACCCAACCACCCAACCACCCAACCACCTATCGACACACCATCATGAACTTTCTTATTTCCCTTCGACGCCAGTTCAAAGAAACTTTGGTGATTTCTTTTGTGCTTCAGTTTTTACTATGAGCCAGAATCAAAACCCGGGTAGATCAAGGGAATAGTCCCAAACGCATGTGCGGCGGGTGCGGCGGGGGCGTTTTAGTTCTTGAATGGTCCTGGGCTTGGATCATGTTCCCGATCGGATTTGACTGGGACTCACTTGTGTTCCGCCAGGTTGGGTCAGGCGGTTAGCTATCTGGGTTGTAGCCCATTCATGAACAGGGTTTAGTCCACATGGGGACACATGAATGGGGTACAACCGTGGTTAACGACGCACTCGCGTGGCCTCTGTTGGTGAATCATAAGAGCCACGGGGTTTTTCAGCCCGCTGCAACTTCCCCATGCGCCTTGCGGTTCTGGCCGTGCCGGGCTTGTGGCTGGCGAGGGGTGACAGCGGCTCGGCTCGCCCGTCTTCTTTTCGGCGGTCATGCTTTTTGTGTCATGTGTGTGTGTGTGTGTCTGCATTCTCTTTGAGGGTACCCGGTTTCTTCCATTTGCTCAAGAATATTTGTTGTATCTTCCCTGGTTGGTTTTGAAGGGAATCAATTTCACCACTGGACATACATATGTTCTCAGTTTTTCCCGTGGGAAGAAGAAGCACATGGAGGAGTTGGGCTCCAAAGCTTGCGGCCTTCTCTGGCCGATGAGTCAGGCTTTCCATGGCTCGAGTTTGAATGATTTGAGCTTTTGGGGTGTTCGTACATGTTATATATATATATATGTTTTTTTTTTTAAGATCATGTCGATGTTCTTGTTTGCAATCTACACAGACTTCTTTGTTCGTAGTTCTGCTTGTTGCTTTGATTTGTTGCGAGCTCCAAGCAAAGCCTCTGGTTTGGCCAGCATACCCAAGTGGTGAAGCATGGTGAGCCCCCAAAGCCACAGAGTACTCAGCGTATGAGAACCGTCGGCTTGCAGCAATCGGAGGGTTGACCCGTTTTGCGTGGGTCCAGATGGTGATTATGTACTGACTTTTCATTTTATGACAAACACACACGCACACGCAAACCCCCCATTCTAAGTACTTAAGCTCTTGCTTCACTCATCTCAAGATGGCTGGGTCTTCTATCTAAGGCTCCCTTGTTTGGAGTCCTTTTTAGTTGGTGAAGAGCACAACTGTCTAGGGGTTCCATACTGTGGATGGTTGCAAAATCCATTTCGCACCACCTCAGAGAACCTGGAAGGATTCGATTTCCCAGCGTAAGTAGCAACCAACGTGATGGGTTTCCAAGTGGTGCGAAATGGATTTCGCCACCATCCACAGTATCCCATACGAAGCACCCCTCCCGAATTTCCCCAGGCGAGAGCTGTGGAGAGCTCTCTGTGGAGAGCCTCTTTGGCGCGATCCCGCAGCGGGAGGACGACGCTGGGAGGAGTTCTCGCGCGAGCGTGGGACGTGAAGGGAACCGAGTGAGGGGCTGTTTGGTTTAGGGAGTCTGGTGTTTTTACGGGGTAACCCTTCGTTTTAAAGCGACACCAAAGGAAATTGAAGCATTTAGGGGACTCTGTGTTTGGCTTAGGTCGTTATGCATGGGTTTTTGAAAAGGACGGGTACATTCGTAGATGGAATTCGGAAGTGCTGTGGGTTTGCGGTTTTTGTGATTCTGTGTACTCGCAGTGAGTTAGGCATGGGTTGGAATTGGGCGGCCTTTGGTTGTTCTATGGGGTAACTGTTCCGGGTAACCCTTCGCTGGCTTAGATTGGTGGCTTGGGGGCAGTTTCTTCTTGAGTGTCGATTACCCAAAGTGGACACCAAGTCCAGACCACAACCAGGAAGAGGTGCTTGGTTTGATCACCCCCGGAACACCTCAAGAGACCAATCCAATACAAGTGAAGCCTTTGTTGCCTGCCTTAGTGCCTTGTACATACCTTAAAGGCGGAACGTGAAGAACCATATGTGCACCTGGTATGAGCGCCTAGTTTATGTCTTAGTTGTACGGTCGTTATGGCATTATGGGAAATCAGCCTCCGAAGGATCCAACATGGCCATGTTTAAAAAAAAAAAAAAACATGAAAGAACAAACGGGAAACAAAGAAAAGAACCAACACATACACACACACACACACAGTCAGCCTTTGAATACTTTGGCTAGCACTTCGGAAGCTGACCTTGTAAGGAATGGCTTCGCTGGGTGGCAGCGCGCCCAAACCAACCTGCCGCTGCTCTGCGTGCGGCGGAGGCTGGATCAGTGGAGTCTACCATTGGGAGCCAAGCAAAAAATTGCTTCGCGGGGACCAAAGAAACAAATAGAACCAACGGGGCCAGCTCGCCTGGTTGTTTTTGTTCTCGTTCATTTTTTGCGTTGGGTTTGGGGTTTCCCTTTGCACCTACTATACACAAAAGAACGTTTCCCCCATGGAAATCCACCTGCGTTTCTGAGAGGGAGTCTGCCTTTGTGAACTGGTGCAAGCAAACCCGTCCCCGTGAAATGTGGGGATTCAGACCACTTCAGAGGGGAATACCTCTCTTTTTTATTGGACAGGTTTACGAATGCGGGGTCAGCTTAGCTATGGCTTAATTACCCACAACCCCATGCCAATGTCCTTTGGTCCTTTTATTTGACAACCACACAATTGGCGCTCGAGCTAATCAAATGTGGCCAGGTGGTATTGCAATTTTTGGTGTTCTCAAGCTGCGGGCAGAAATTGAATTCAGAGCCCTAGCTGCTGTGTACTATCGTACCAGGGCAGAACACCTTAATGAGCAGGGTAGCTTGAGTGAGAAGCAAAAGGCTTCAATGATGCACACTGTATGCGCAGGTGGCTGTTTTCTCAGACCGCTTGTGCTGACAGACAAAAAGGAAGCCACCCAGGGAGTGTTCTACCATCATGTTGAAACAAGAGAAGTGGTTCAATAATGTGTCAGTGTTTTTTCAGACCCCTTTTGGGACTGACAGCCACCCATTTTACAAGCCAGGAGCCCTGAGCCATCCCCCACTGCTCCTGGCTCTGCGGCAGGTTCTTCGCGGACCAGCCACTGAGCAAAGCGTGCAGGAGGCATGGCGCGAGGCGCGCACGACCAAAGGATCGAGTGAGTTGTTCTTTGGCGCTGCTGCGGATGCACCACCTCTGGGTTCCCTAGTAGTGCCCTTTTACCCTTTTGGGGGAGGGTTCCCCCACTACAGAAAAAAGGGTACCCTTATTCTAACCTCCCGGAGGACCTGGGAGATCATGGTTGAAATCACAGTTGTTTGGTATTTACACTGGAATCGAATCATTCCATTGGGTTTCTTAGGTGGTGCGAAATGAATTTTGTCCATCCACAGTATGGTACATCTGTTGGGGTTGGCAATGGTCATGTCACGGATCCTATTGTGGACCGTAAGGATTCTGAAAGGATACAGGAGCAAGGTTTATCACGTCTTGTTCTGCGCTTTGAGTTGTTTTTGTTTGTTTGGACCGTTTCAGTGGTAAAAAGGTCTAGACTTCTTCCGGCGAAATCAAATCCACGGAGTCCAAAGATCTTCGCCCGAACATATGCCACAGGAGATACCATTTGATATGATTTGATAGCCATTGGTGGGGGGTCCTCCGTTTTCAGAAGAACCAATCGGCGGCCATATTGGAGATGACGTGTGGATGTTTGTTGGTTTCTGTGACTACTGAACCAAAAACACAATGTCTCTGGATCTGATTTGTTTGGCTATTTAGGACCTTTTCGGGTTCCATTGAACCCCAAAAGGCCACTGTAGATGTTCAAGACTTACCTGTTCACATTCGCCAAACGTGGACGGTACCTTTGGCCAAGACACTGGTAGTTGGATTTCTGTTTTTTTTGGTGGGCATCATGTTGAACGGGGCTGATGTCCTACCATATTTCACAATTACATTGGTTTGTCTCAAACTGGGGGAAAATACACCATGGGCGGCTTCCGTTGGTTTCCTCCAACACACACACACACACCGGCCCGAACAAAAATATAAGACACACAAGCGCACACAAGGTCGTGAAGTCGACGGATTGAAAGTGCGCCTGGACATAGCGCTTCTCCAGGGGTACCTTCCCCATGCTTTCCAGGCATCCTTCTTTCTACGAAACCACCCAAAACCCTTGCAAAGCAGCGATCGGTTTTGAAAAGAACGATGGTTGAAAAGAATGGTTGGAAGGAATCAAACCCTAGAGCTTTTGGGCCACTTGTCGCATCGGAGTTGGCGATAAAGTCGTCGTCGGGAATGAACGACATCCTGCACCAGTTGATGGTTGGTTTGTCCCAGTCATTGTCCATTCCAACTGGCTCACCATTTGGGGTCCCTGCATGTCCGTTGAAACACTCCTTAAAAGATACATGTTGCAACCATTTGAAACATGGCTTGTTCAACACCAAAACAAAGGGACACCACCATTTACAAGTTGCAATGTTCAGGTGTCATGTAAGGATCCCTGATTCCTTCCATTTGCGAACTATGTTTTTTGTTATGTTCCCTTGGTTGAGGGAAGCGATTTTGGACATATGTTCTCATTTTTTGCCAGCGAAGCAGAGCCACTTGCAAGCCCTTGGAGCTGAAGCGGGACTGCCAGAAATGTTTTTTCCGATCGACATGGTTTGGGGTTCACCAGGTGGGTTGCGTTGTCTTTCTCTTTCTTTTTTTTAACAGGACTCTTTTTTTGTTGAATGACCGTATCGAGTTTTTTTCTTGCCCAGTTGATGCAGCTGATTGATTCTGATCCGGCCATGGGGATTCAGATGACAAGCACTGTAGGAAAGCAAGCATCCGGGCTTGGAGCAGATGAGTTTCCCGCTCGGGATGTCTTGTGTGTTGTTTGTTTCTTCGGAACCGCATGTTGTTTGTTGCTTCTCAGAACGCCTGAAAAGACACTGAAATGCACATTCCTCAAGAAACATATGAAAAATTCAAAAATCGTAAAGAAAAAAGAGTCGATCGATTTATGCAACTCAAAAGCCAGAAGAGGTTCCCCGACCCCTTCCGGAATGCCCTTCCGTCATTGGGTGATGTCTCAGAAGTCACTCAGCGCTGGTGTGGCAGGTGGAAACTATCCAGCTGGATGGGTGCGAGAGCGCGGAGCTGGTGGGCTGGTTCCGCTTCCGCCTCTTTGATGGGTTCCACTGGTTTAGATGGCTTTTGTTCCATTTGCCAGGGCCATCGATTTTGCCGAAAGGCCACCTATGCTCAGAATCCATGCCGTTTGGCCCCGGTAGATGGGTTTCGTCCCAGTTCTCGTAGAGTGCGTTGATGAGTTTCATGAGGTGTCAGAGCGTTTCCATAGGGTTTCGGCATTAGTCGGAATGGATGACACCCGATATTGGGATGGGTTGAGGGGAAAAAGCTAGGGTCGTTTGTTGTTGCTTGTTCACTGTTTGTTTTGACCTTGAACCCGCTGACTTTTTTGACAGTAACTAAGGTTCCCAAGTCGCAGAAGCTGCTCCCCTAGCTTCTCGCCAAACGTCAGGATGTGTTGTGCCAAAATGAGGGTTGTAACCCAAGACATCAAAAGACGCCCCAGCCACACCGGGCGATTGGAGGGTAAGGGACAATCCCCTAAGATGGTTGCCGCCGGTTGAGTTCTTTACGTGGTTCTGGGTCCATTTTACTAGCAGGTGTTTATTACAGCTTGCTTCCCCTTCTCAATTTATACTTTTTGGGAAGACCATTTTAGTGGCAAACAAAAAGCACACGTTTTTCCACCTGTCCACTCGCTCGGAAGGCTGCCTTGGATTCTTTGCAGCGGCAAACAAATACCCAGACCCAAGGCTACTTCCAGTGGCTGCCCAAGACCGACCTGAGCGCATTGGAACAACAACTTCGCCAGTGTTCAGGTTCGGCCCTCGAGGCCCGTGGATGAACCTCTTGTTTTTTTCTCGCAGGAGAAAAACAAGCACGGGTGCGATTTGTTTGGTCAGACTTCCATGTGCGCCCTCTGTTTGTTTTTTGGGGGATTTGATGCGTTGGTTTCCCGATTCAACTCAACTCATCACCAAAATTGTGAAAACAGTGTCTGCATTGTTCTGGTGTTCCTATCTATGTACCAACTGCCAAAAGCTAGTGCCATTTTCTTCACCGGAGATTTGGGAATGTTTAAATCACCGGCCGGGTGAATGAACATTTCGGCCTTTTGGTTCCAGCCGCAAACCGAGAAGGCAAGCTAAGATAAAGATATAGTTCCATGGTGGGGGTGGATGTTTCGGGGGAGGGGCATTTTGCTTCCGGAGATTGACACAGTAAACCATGCTTGGAGGGAGAGCGAAGTGCTGTTGACTGGAAACTCCAAATGGGTTTACTCCTCATATGGAGTTCGAGCCATTCCTTCTTGAGGCTTCCCCCTCTAGGCTTCCTTGCAGAGCTCACTTTGAATTGATCTTCATAGCGTGTCATTTTAAAGGAAGCCAACAGGACACCGCTCATTTCTCGGGGCGTTCTGCCTCGAAAAAGGCCGCATCCGGCACCTCTGCCCTGATGGATAAGTCACTGGGATGCCAAGCTTTTGGGCCCGGGACTCGGAGGTCAGAAGTCGGGAACCAGGGGTTAGTTGATATCATACACGGATTGCTCCTTTGGTAGACCTAACGCATATATTAATATATGCATACATTATTAGTATTATTATCGTTATTATTATACTATTATTAATAGCTCATAGTATTATGACTGTCATTTAACATTATATCATGGTAGTGGGTGATGAAGGACTTCTGTGCTTCACATATGCTATTTTACACATCCACAGTTGTAAGCCACTTAGTTAGCATCCCAGTTCACCCAATTCACCTCTGATTTATAAGAACTTAAGTCTTCCCCCTAACCCAGTTAGTCACCCTCCCAGTTCACCCCTTTTATGTCTGGCTTATAAGCCAGTTAGCATCCCAGCTCACCCAATTCACCTCTGATTTATAAGAACTTAAGTCTTCCCCCTAACCCAGTTAGTCACCCTCCCAGTTTACCCCTTTTATGTCTGGCTTATAAGCCAGTTAGCATCCCAGCTCACCCAATTCACTTCTGGTTTGTAGGGAATTTGGACGCCCCGCCTGTTGCACCCCACTGCTCGACGCTCGATTCGCAGGTCGCGGCGGGGCTCTTGCTGAGCCGCGACGGCACTCAGACGCCAGAGGCGCTGAAGCTGCTCGCCGAGGCGCCGGTTCCACTTGGGGGGTCGATTTCACTTAGCGGCCATGGGGATGGCTTTGGGGCTCGAGCCCATGAGCCAAGAACAAGCCCTCAGTAAGGCCTTATGAAGGGGTTAATATGGGGTAGCCCCCCCTAGGCGCGAACTCCGTTTTGCTTTTCACCGAAACGAGACCCTGGTTTTGGATTCGATTCCCCAAGGTGGCTGTGGCTCAAAAAACCGGAATTCCAAAATGGAACCCTGGTAAGTGGAGAAATGGACCAAAACCTGCGGTTTGCCCCTCCTGTTTAATTTTGAGCCACACCCAGGTCAATACCAACAAACGCTTTGGTTTCCAAGTGGTGCAGGATTTGGTCCATCCACAGTATGGGGATGGCTTCGGGGCTCTCCCAGGATAAGCCAAGGAATAAGCCCTTAGTAAGGCCTTATGAAGGGGTTAAGATGGGGTAGCCCCCCCTTCCCATAGCCCCCATCCGGGGTTCGTGGCACTTGGGATGCTGCAGATTCCGGTCTGTGAATGGCAATTAGGGCAGATGGTTTAAACCAATGTGGTTGAAACAACCTTCTTTGGGTTTCCCGGTGGCGGGTGCTGTTGGCCTCAACCAATTTGGCCCAATCCTAGTGGCTCGCGATTGGAACACCTTGGAACCTCCGAGGGAAGAAGTGATTTCACGGAAATGGGAATCGACCACTAAACTATATTAAACCGTATTGCAGGAAGGGTGAGTTTCAGCAGTCATGCACTAAAACAACCTAAGCGGACTATTTGTTCAGCGCTTACAAGCAACTTCTATCTCAGCCATGATCCATATCCAACCCCTCAAGGAGCCAAATAATCTTCGGCCAGTATTCTTGCAAGGAAAACAAGCAGGTGGCGGGTGTGGAGGGTTCTTAGAGTTCCCAGTTTGCGGGCGGACTCCAATAGCTTCTCAAGGGGTTTGGCTATTGCTCAACTTTGGCGACAAAGATCCGTGGATTCCTGTTTATAAGTCTCCCAGCCTTCATGTCAGTCTCCCAGAAGCCTCAGACTTTGTTTCGTTCAGGGGAATTATGGATCCAAGGAGGGGTGTCTGTAAATAGCTTGAGTTTCCTAGAAGGAACCTGAAAGGGGATGGGTACTTGTGCTTAGTTCTCCAGGTCACTTATTTAGCACCCATTTCGTCTCAACCCAACACTTTGATCGTTTAGCAACCGACAGCTTCGCGCAAACCCAATGGTTTAGACCCGCACAGCTTCGCGCACGTTCTGAGACGGTTTCCACCCCGAATTCTCTGTCAGGGGACATCAATGGTAAGATACCCTTTATGATATAGTTTGTGGTTGTATACATTCCCAGTAAACCGCGTCGTGGAAACACATCCTATGTTCTACAGGAAATCCGCCCAACACCCTGCTCGGCAAATATCCCCCAAATGCGGTGGTGGAAGCCACCTTAGACATCGTCCAAATCGAGATATGTCCCACTGGGTGTGTTGGCTCCTTTACACCCACCCTGAAGGTATAAACACCAGATTCCCTACTGTGGATGAACTAAATGCGGCACCACCTAAGAAACCATGGGTTCTCCAAAATGGTTGGGTTCTTTTCGGTTTCCCAAAGAAATGACACCTTGACAACCAAACAGAAACACCAATCAAGGGTGGTCGGAACTCTCCTGGTGTTGGAACTACTGTATGGCACTCTCTTGGTTAATTGAGGTGACTGGTCACACGATCCATTTTCTTCACAGCTTTCAATTCAAGGCTTGAGGGCGCGCCAAAAAACCCACACCCTCAACCCACCCTCAACCCGCCTCCTATCCATTTTCTTCACATGGTTGGAACTCTCGCAGTGTTGGAGCTCCATGTCTTGGAGGGGTTTCCCGGGGTTGTTGCCAACGGGTCTTTTCCCACTGGCTTGATGTCTCACAAGGGCTTCAGATGCGCCCAACTGTTCACGGATTCAGGGGTTGGAACTATGTGGAACCCTCAAACCTCAAGGCCAAGTCACCACAAACCCCAAGCCTCACCAAGAAACCAGATAACATCCATTTTCGCCGCAAAAAGACCTGAACCCTAAACCCCCAACCTGGCTCTCCACACTCTCTTGGTGTCTTGGCGTCTGAGGCCGGCCCCTCGCTGCGCCTGGCCTTGGCCCTGCACAGCAGCGGGGAGAAATCCGCGGTGGCATCCTTGACGCCCCGTGCCCAGCAGGCGAGACACGAAAAAGAACGGCTCGGAGGAGTGGACCGAGCCCGTGGTTAGGCAGTTTTTGTGGTTTTCCTTTGGGTTTTTCGACAATTTTCCGGTGTTCCTTTGGGTGTTCCTTTGGGTCTCCCAGTTTTGGCCAGCGTTTTCTAGTGAGTTTGCTGGCGCTTTCCTTTGTGTTGTCCAATTTTGGCAAGCGATTTTAGTGGTTCTCGGTTAAAAGCTGTGGGTTTTCAATGATTTTGGAATTCCTGGTCTTCCTTTGGTGAGCCTCCCAAAATGTGCCACGGTTTTGACGGGCAACGAGAAAGAAACACCTGGAGTTTCCCCTTCAACTCAACTGCCACTGGGGCATTTCTGGTTTTCAGCTGGTTTTCTGGGCTTGCAAGGTCAAGTTCTTTTCGGCTTTGTGTTGGTTGCGTTCACGCGTTTGAGAGGAGGTTCCAAAACAGAGGGATCCCACTTTTTAAGCCAGTCGGAGTCCCTGTTCCTTTGTTTTGGCAGGAGGAACCTTCAAACTCAACCACGGCTCACAGTCAGAGTCCCTTTTCCTTTGTTTTGGCAGGAGGAAACCCTTCAAACTCAACTGTGGCCCTTGGGTGTTTGGGGTGAGGTGTTCTTTGCGGATATCCCTCTTTTTTTTTGGGGGGGGGGTTTACAGGGCAACAGAAGGCAAACCCACCATTGTGGTTCCTTGTGCTTACACGGTCCACCCAGATTGCTTTATTCTTCCCCTGTCGGTTTTTGAAGAGGAACGTTCACTGCTGGAAGTTGGCGAAAAATTTTCGCCGGGGGCTCGAGTAAATGGAAGTGGGTTTCCAAGGTTGATTGGTGGGTTCATTCTTGTGAAAAGTCCTCAAGGCTTCATCCGACCCTTGGACCGTAGTCCTTGTACATTCCATAAATAAGGAGTCGCGTACTTCTTCCTTTCAGATCAGAGGCAAGGTCAGCCAGCTGGCATAGGAAGGTGGAGGGAGCTGTGCCATGCTTTGCGTGTCATCGAAGGACTTATTTGCTTCCATTTGGTTAAGTTGTTTATTGTTTTGTTTTTTTCCGAAAACCTCTTGGTTTTAAAGGGAATCTATCACCACTGAAACATGTTTTATTTATTTATTATTTTCGCAGGGGGCTGAAGCAACTGGAGGAAAACCTTCTTTGGAGTCTGGGACAGGGCTTTGTGGGGTTTTGATCTTGGACAGGAGCTCAAACTCTCGGAGGAGGGCCGAGACTTTGACGAGCTGCTGCTGGCGACTTTTGGCTTCTGGCTCGCAGGTCGGTCAACATGTAGATGGATCCAGATGGGGCCCATTTGGGGATACATATATATACTTTAGAGCCTCCGGCTCAGTCCGCCGACATTGACCTGTTCGACGCAGAAAGTTCGTGGACCATGAAAAGTTGGTTCCCTGCTTTTCAGGTATTGCCACAACAGTTACGTGGCACGAAGGGCATGCATGGGTCAGCCTTGGCGTACGATCGGAGCACCTGTGGCCACGGCCCGGGGTATAGCTTGCGTCCGCGGCCACAGCCCGGAGCCGGCCACGGCCGGGACCAACAGGACGAGCGCGCCAAACAAATCTTGCAGCAGCGGGCACGGCCAAGCGCGCCAGGCATAGCTGCTCGGGAGGCACGCACAGCGGGCTTCGTGTCTGTGGCCACGGCCCGGACCGAAGCGCGCCAAGGGATTCTTGCATCTGCGGCCACGGCCCGGAGCAAGCGCGCCAGGTTCCGTAGCTGCTCGGGAGGCACGCGGCGCGGGTTTCGTGTCTGTGGCCACGGCCCGGACCGAAGCAGGACGTAAGGGATTCTTGCGTCCGCGGCCACGGCCCGGAGCAAGCGCGCAAGGCTCCGTAGCTGCTCGGGAGGCACGCGGCGCGGGTTGTGTGTCTGTGGCCACGGCCCGGACCGAAGCAGGACGTGCGCGCCAAGGGATCCTTGCGTCCGCGGCCACGGCCCGGAGCAAGCGCGCAAGGCTCCGTAGCTGCTCCGGAGGCACGCAGAGCGGGTTTCGTGTCTGTGGCCACGGCCCGGACCGAAGCAGGACGTGCGCGCCAAGTGTTTCTTGCATCTGCGGCCATGTTCACGGCGTCGGCGCCGGGTGTGCGATGCGCCAAGTTAGTCGCGCGGCTCGCGCGAGCGGCCGCACGGGTCGATCCGTGCAGGTATGTCAGTCTGGACAAGGGGGGCTTGCGCTTGCTCTTCGCTCCAACGCGTCGAGGCTGCAGCGAAGGAGAAAAAGCTCCGAACAGGACCTTGCAAGGAGAGACAGGACAGCCGCCGCGCACAAGTCAGGGCTGTCTGGGATGACCTGCTAGCGAAAATCAGAGACATGTGCAACAGCTTGGAGTCAGCGAGGAGGAGTTGGACTGTGCTGACCAAGGGCTCAGCAGGAGCGCTCACGCGATCTGAAGCTGCGTCGCACTGCGTCTGTCCAGAGTCCATTCCATCGTTCGCGGACCTTGAGGCAGCCTGGGCTCGTGTGGAGAGCCGCCTGGACACGGCGCCAAGGGGCAGCGCGGATGCAAGCTGGGCTGCTTGTGTACAGTTGCGACGTGCCGTTTTTTTTCCTGTTTTTTTTTAGCCTTGTAGCAAGCCGGTGCAGTCTCTGAACTTGCAGGTTGACGCTTGCTCGGCAGAAAGTGGGGAGGTAGGGTGGGGGCGGCAAGAGCAGAATGCGAGGAGGGTAGCTGTTGTTGAAACATGTCTGACAAGGAATTTGCATCCGGGGCACGTTAGCTCAAGCCCGGCGGCGTGAGGAAGGGTGCAGCCCCTTCAAAGATGTCCCTGGGATGGAACATGGACGCGGACGTGCTGGCAGAGCTACACGCGCTAGGGCTCGAGGTTGGGGAAGGGTCCTCGCACGGGGAGAACAATTGCCTTGTGGACAGCATGCTGCAATGTCTAGCTGCAGCTGATGTGCTTCCAGAAGAAGTACTGCTTTGCGCGGAGACGCGGCAAGCAATGTGTGCGGCGGCACGAGCGAGACTGGTGGCGCAGGCGGACGTCAGGCTGCGCCCACAGCGGCTGGATGCGTGCGGCGTGCGGGACAGTGGCGCGACTGCAGCGGAGCACGAGTGTGCGTACCTGCAGCATCATCTGCACGCAGAGCCCGTGCTGCGGAGCATCATGGCGGACTGTGGCAAGGTGGAGTGGCCGGACATAGAGCTCACGGTGTATGCAGCGGGGGACGCCGTACACCGGTGCCCAGACCGAGTCCTGTTGGCAGGTGCTGGACAGCCTGCAGAGAAGCTCCGGCTAAGTTTGTTCAGTCGCACGGATGCAGACGGCAACGGGTGGCACTATGACCCGCTCTTTGAAGGCAGAGTCAGTGCAGAGCTGGATGTCGCGGAGGAGGCGGCCCCTACGTTCGAGCACAAAGAAGCTGCAGGAGGCGAAGCAGGAGAGGACGAGGCGGTCGTCAGCCTGGCACTCATGGGCGTGCGCAGGGACAGTGGAGACCAAAGGCAGGCGCTGGAGGAAGCTGTGGAGCACACCGTCGCTGGGAGGATGATCTCCATGTCGGAATTTGCGGGCAGGCACCGCGGGCGCATCGTTTGCGCGTTTCGCGGGTGTGAGTACACATGTGCCACGGCGGACGTGCTGGATGCGCACCTGCGGGAAGTGCATGCGGGCGACTTGGCGGCGGCTGTTGCGGCTCGGTCGCGCTTGAAGGGGGTCAGCAGCGAGGCGCACCTGGCGGTGTACCGGCTGTGCCTGCAGGAGCTGGCGCGCAGGTCGCCCCCACAGGCGAGCGCAAGCCAGGATCGCGCCTGCTTGCGCAGCTACTGCGATCAAGTGCGCACGGCCCGGACGCTCATGTGCTTTGTGTGCGCGTGCCGATTTGCGGGCGTGGAAGAGGAGGCGGATCAGGACATCCAGCGGTACCGCGCGGCGGACATGCGCGGTTTGCTGGAACTGCTCTCGTTCACGACGTACATGGAGAAGTATGGCAATCTTTGGCCGAGCGGGCCGGACTTGCGCGGCAACGAGGCTGCTTTCCGTGAGTGGCTCAGAGGGTTCGAGGGCACGCTTCTGTTGTGCTGTCCGGAGGATGTAGATTGCGCAGCGCACGATGTGCGGATGGGTGCGGGAGAGCTCTGCCCGGCGTGCAGCATCCCGATTTGCTCTGTGTGTGTCCAAGACTGGCGCGCGTCGAGGGGCTCGCTTCCAGCTGCAGCGTTGTCCAACGACCTGTGGACGGGGTACTTGCCTGTGGAGATCTACACCCAGGCGGCCACGGTGTGCGAACTGATTGCGGCCTCGCCGTGCCTCACCGGCATGTTTTGTTTCTCCCTAGAGTACCACCGTGCAAGCAGCGTCTACGACGCAACGGCGTACATGCCTCGCCACCGGCTCGGGGCGCGCGGCAATGTGACGTCGTATCCACTGCCCTGGCTCGACCTCTTAGCGCAGCTCGGGAGCATGGAAGCTGGCAACAGTGTAGCGCTGCCGAGGACTGGCGTGGAGCTCGCGGAGACGGTGCAAGTCTTACTGCGGACAGGTGGTGGGCTAGGGGAGGCGGACGCAGGGAGATTCTTGCATCAGGCACGGGTTCGGCGGGCCGTTGTGCTGGCCTTGATCCGTGGAGCTGTGGCGCGGAAGCACACTGCGTATGCAAACGTGGACTTGGAAGCGGCCATGACTCGGGCTGCAGGTCTGCCGGAGGATGGGGTGCCTCCAGAAATCGTGCGGCTGCTGGACCCGGATCGGAACATCAGTCGCCTGCGTCCGCAGAAAGCGGCAACGCCCGCCGATGGGTGTCACCTGGAAGCGGAAGACGCGGCGCGGCAGCTGGCAGATGTGCGCCCCCACGCAGTGTTGCTTGAAAACAGCAGCGCGTTGGAGGAGGATGCCGTCGCGCAGGACATTGCGGCCTGGCGACATTTTGACACGCAGCTTCGATGGGGGACAGAGCCGCCCGCTGCAGCGGTGACTATAACCGCGGGGTCACAGCTGGTCGATCAGTTCAAGCCGCTGTATTTCGGTGTCGCGTTTGCGTTTTGCTTCAGTTACTGCATAGGCTTGCCCGACTTGGTGCATCACGGTACAACGACGCGGTACAGGCGGGAAGCGTCGGCGCCAATCATCGACTTCCCGCGCTGGGCTCGCGCTGTGAGTCGACGCGCAGAAAGCCAATTTGCGCGCGACTGGCTGCTACTGTTTGCGCTGTGGAACTACAGTTTTCGCGTGCAAGTGAACTCGAGCCGTGGACTGGTTGCGTACGTGCCTCGTGGGCTGCCCAGTCTCACAAGTGAGGAGCTGACAGAGGGCGCCGTCGCACTGTGCAAGGCCTTGCATGGTCAGTACCGTGCAGGGCCGGACGCGCCGTTGCAGCCGGTCGCTGGGGACGTATCGAAGCTGCACATGGTGCCGGAGCTACCTCGCGCCGCGCGCATTCTGCTGCAAAACGTGCAGCACGTATCAGCGAAGATTCCAGGCACCGTCGAGGTGAGGAAGCTCATGCGACACGAGACGCACGCGTACCGGATCATTTACGGGGAGCCAATCTTCGTAACAATCAGTCCGAACGAGCGGGACAACTTGCTGAGTGTGCGACTGTTTCGTTGTCGAAAGAGCGACCCTGTCGTGGAAGCGGACGAGGACGCGCGGCAGTGGGGCGGAGAACGCCAGCCCGTGCTGGGCACAGCTGTGACAGAGGCAACGGCAGGCTTGCTCCCTGCCTTTGAAGCACGGCGTCACCTGGCGGCGGCGGACCCGCTGTCAGTGGTGGAGGCCTTTCACTTGCAACTGCGGCTGTGTCTGCGACACTTGTTTGGCATCAACATCTGCAAGAACTGCCCGCGATGCAACTGCATGTCCGAAGACGGCAGCGTCGCATCCTTGCGCCTTGGAATTTTTGGGCGAGTGACAGCGGTGTATGCGGCGCTGGAACACCAGAAAGCCGGCGGCTTGCACGCGCACATGCAAGTCTTCGTGGAGAATCTTCACCAAGTCACGCCCTTGCACGAAATCTGGAACCGGCTGGAGAAGGAAGCCAGCGCGCCGATGGTGCAGCGATATCTGGCGTTCAAGGCACACGTGTGCAAAGAAACCTACGACGACCTGGCCACGCAGCAGCAGCGTGCGCACGAGGTCGAGGCAGCATGGCCTGAGCATGCCCGCAACCCGGCACTCGTGTCCATGCCGACGTATCTGCTGGATGGCGACGCGAGCGACGCGTCTTGGGCTGAAGCGTTCCGGGCCGACGTGCAAAGGATTCAGGAGCTGAAGCAACATCACGTACACCCCTTTGATGGAGAGGGTCGTCGGCAACTTCTACGGCACTGTCAAAGCAGACAGGATCGAACAGTGTGTAAGGGGCGCTTTCCACGCGTGCAGGAAATCTGTAGCGAGGCGGTGGTGCTTTGTCCCGGCTTGGCTCGGGCATTCAATCTGCCGTTCCAAGGCCGTAGAAATTTAGTAGGTGCTCTCGTGGGGCCGCGCAATAATGAATGGGTGAACGGCACCCATCCGGCACTGACCGCTGCGCTGCGGGCGAACACGGACGTCCAGCTTCCGTATCGACTCCCGCCTTGCAAGGAAACCCACAGCAGCCTGTGCGATGAGGCCAGCTGCCTGGACGGGGTAGATCTGCAAAGCGTCATAACCGCCGCGCAGCACGCGCAGAACGCACAGTGTGGATACGCTGGGGACTACGGCAGCAAGCGACAGGTGGTAGCGCTGCACGAGGTGAACGAGTGGATGCGCGGCCAGAGAGCGCTGGGTGAGGAGTTGGCCGGAAAGGCGCGCAGTTATCAGGGCGCGCGGCACTTACGGCGGTTCCTGTCGGACGCGTATGGGCGGGGAATTGTGCGCAGCGCGCCGGAAGTGGTGAACCTGCTAACGCGGCAGGACAGCAACGTAGTGACTGCTGCGGAAGCGTTGCAAACGGCTCCGACAGAGAGCTTTCCAGGACGCGTCTTTCTGGAGTGCGTCGAGGGTCCGGCGCAAGGGGGGCCGGCAGAGCGGCCGCAACGGCAGTACCTGCAAGTAGACTGGCGATCTCGGCGACACCGCTCGCTGACACTGCGGCGCATGGACATCCTCTACGGCTGTCGCGGGACGCAGTGGGGCGTGCGAGACCTGTCCGCATACGAGTGGGTGCGCTACTGGAGAGTGGAGCTGGCTCGCTACCGCGCGCCGGCGGAAGGCGTCGCGAAGGGGCAAACAGTGTTGCACGCAGATCTGACGGCGAGCGGGCACGCAAAGTCGGAGGGCCTCGAGGCAGGTGTGGACTACCGTGTGCGGGAAGGCGGCGGCGAAGATTGGGTGCCTTTCCCGGACTTGCCAGAGACTGAGCGCTTTCGTCATCAGTGGGTCATGGTCCGTCGGACGCGTCCGGTGGTTCCCGTGTTTTCCGGAGCCCCCTTGCCAAAAGTGAGCAGCTCCGAAAGAACGTGCATGCTACTCATGGCGTACTTTCATCCTTGGACTTTGCTGGAGCACTGCGCTGCAGAGGGCTGCCCCCTGGCGTCGCAGCTGCGGGGCAGTGCCGCTTCCTGGGCGACAGCGTTTGCCAACTGGCAGCGTCGCGGGGCCAGCAGTGTGGAGCAGCAGCGGTACGTGCAGAACTTCCTGAATGTCACACGTTCGCGCCCCGGTGGGAGCGCGGTCGACTCGGACGAAGTTGAGTCCTTTAGCGACGAGGAAGTCACGCTCACCCAACAGGAACTACCGGTCGCGTTGGAGACACATGTGAGCGGCAGAGCTGCGGCACCTGGTGCGACGAGTGGCGCTGAGAAAGTGTCGCACTGGACAAATTCGACGAACGCCATGGCCCGCGCGCAGCAAGTGTGGGGTGGTGAGACACAGCGCGGCCGAACAGAGCGGAGGGGAGAGCAGGGGGGACCCGAGGCTTTGCGTGCAGCCGAGCAGCAGCTGGAGGCAGCAAAGAAGAGCAAGCGGCCGGCGGCGTGGGAGGCAGAGGGCGGCGGAAGAGCATGCCCAAGGGCGGGAGATGTGCGAGTGCACCCGCTGCCGTTTCAGGAGGATCTGGAAGCATGGCTGGGCCAGCAAGAAGGCCTAGCGGCGGAACAGCACGAGTTTCTACGCGTAGTGGTGGAGCAGTTGTGCAAAGGACTGCCCCGAAAGCAGCGCGTCCGCGGGAAGCAGCCTATCCGAGGCTGTCCGGGAGAGCCTCTTCGGTGGCTGTTGCACGGCAGGCCAGGGGTCGGGAAATCGTTCGTGCTGGGAAAGCTCCGCGAGCTCTTCGAAATGGTCATGGGCTGGCAGGCCGGCGTCCAGTTTGCGTTCGTAGCCTTGCAAGTGAGCAACGCGGCGCAGCACGAAGGGCAAACCTGCCACAGCTTTTTTGGGCTGAACAAGTTCGGGCAACCTGTGGAGTTGGGTCCGGGAGCTCTGCAAGAGAAGCAGCGCAGCTTCCAGCGCCTCGAGTGGGTCGTTGTGGACGAGGTCTCCATGCTGTCAGCATCGTTTCTGGCGGTCATGGAGAGGCAGGCGCGGACACTGCGACCAGAGCGCGGCTCCTCGAAGCTGACAAGCGACAACAGCGAGCGACCGTGGGGCGGCCTGAGCATGGTTCTGGCAGGGGATTTTCATCAACTCGACCCGCCGGACAACGGGCGAAGCTTGTGCAGCATACCTGACTTCGAGCGCATGCAGCGACCGTGCGCAGCAACGGCTGAGTTCGGCCAGGCCTTGATCTGGGACAAGGGTGACGGGTATGGCCTGCACGGCGTCACGGAGATGCAGACGCCGCAGCGGTGCCGCGATGCCTGGTGGCTGGACTTGCTAGAGCAGTGCCGCTTCGGGCGCCTCTCGGAGGAGAACCACAAGTTCTTGCACGGGCTGCCGACAGACGTCCCAGGCAGTTTCGTGAACGGGCAAGTGCTGTGTGGGAAGAGGGAGTGCGCCGCGTTATGCGGCACGGCCTGCCTGGAGCAGGAGTGCACGGCGTGCCAGCTGGAGAGAAAGCGGCGGCGCCTGGTGGCAAGCGGCCCCACGGACGGTCGCTTCGCAGGCAAGTTCAAAGATGCTCCCCTGATCGTCGCCAATAATGATGTCAAATACGAGGCAAACAAGATTCGTGCGCAGGACTACGCAAGGCAGACAGATCAGGCGGTGAGATGGTGCGCAGCGCAAGACAGGGCAGACTGCGCGGCCCTTGCGACAGACCCAGACCTGCGCAAGCGCAAGCTGGCTTGGCTTACATACCACGATCGCAAGACAGGGAGCCTTCCTGGCATGCTGCCGCTAGTGCAGGGGCTGCCCGTCAGCTTGTGCGATCACATCGACAGACCAAAGAAGCTGTGGCGTGGAGCCGTGGGCAAGGTGGTTTCCTGGACTGTGGAAGGTGACGAGAGCGAGGCAGCCGTTTTGTCCAAGCCGGCGGCGGCGGTGGTTGTCGAGTTTCCGGACGCGTCGTGGCAAGTCTGTCCAGACTTGGCCGTGGGGCAGTACCCGCTGGGCCCGCAAACCGTCCGGTGGTCGGTCGACACGGCAGCGCCAGGAAGGAAGCCGGTGCTATGGGTGCGGAGATCGCAGATACCCCTCCGCCCGGCTTTGGCGCTCACTGCGCACGGTGCGCTTGGACTGACGCTGGAGAAAGCTATCGTCGACCTACAGCTGAGCGCGGAGATGTCCAGCGTAGGGAGCTACGTCGCGCTGTCGCGGGTACGCCGCGCGGAGGACGTCCTGATTTTTCGGCCGTTTGCGCGCGGTCTGCTCGCGCGCGGCCCTGCGCCGGGCCCTGTTGTGTTGCTGAAGTGGCTGTCAGGAGAACCAGTCGACTGGTCCGTGCTAGACACGACAGACGGCGGAACGAAGGAGTGCAGCCGGTGCGGAAGAAAGAGGCCGAGCGCCAGCTTCGCCGCGCCGGACGGCAACGCGGCAACCAGCGCAGCCAGCGCAGCCGTTTGCCAAGTCTGTCGTCGCGGCGAGAAGACATGTGTCGCCTGTCATGTCCGCAAGGAGAAAGCAGACTTTAGCGCACAGCGAGGCGCGGGTCGAGACATATGCAACCTTTGCTGGGCGCTCAAGGCAGAATGCAGCTTGTGCCTGACCTGGTGTCCGCGACAAGATTTCCCCACAGACAACGCAGCAGGCCGCGCAGACACCGGCCGAGGCAGGACCAAAAGGCAGATCTGCAAGAGCTGTCAGGCACCAGATTGCTGGTGTGTCGGCTGCGAGCGCAAGCTGGGAAAAGGCGCGTTCACGCACGCGCAGCTGGCGAGAGACGCGGGTGCCCGGAAGTGTCGGGCTTGCGCCGGCGCCGGCGAGACACAAGACCGGCGCTGCGCGAGCTGCAGCCGAATGCTGGCAAAAGGCGCGTTCAGCGCAACACAGCTGGCAAAACCAGCGAACGAGCGCAAGTGTCACACGTGCGCCGAGCAGGCAACCGGCGCCGGCGAGAGACAAGACTGGCGCTGCGCAGGCTGCGACCGACAGCTGGAGAAAGGCGCGTTTAGCGCAACACAGCTGGCGAAGCCAGCCAGCGAGCGCAAGTGTCACACATGCGCCGAGCGGGCAGCCGCTGCCGGCGAGAGACAAGACTGGCGCTGCGCAGGCTGCGACCGACAGCTGGGGAAAGGCGCGTTCAGCGCAACACAGCTGGCAAAGCCAGCGAGCGTGCGCAAGTGTCGCGCGTGCGCCGAGCGGGCAAGCAAGGGCGACGGCAGGTGTGTATGCGCGCTGTGCGGCGTAGAAACCGCGGCGGTGGCGTTTTCGCGGAAGCAGCGCAGGGAGCCTGCTTCGCTGCGAAAGTGTCGCGCCTGCTGCGGCGAGCCGGCAGAAGAGACGCCCGTGGCAGACGTCTTGCAAGAAACGGCGGAGCCGACGGCAACGCGACGCGGCCCGGAAGACGCAGGAACGTCGAGCAGTTTCGGTGGCTCGAGTGTGCAGGCACGGGCGCCCCTGGCGGCAGAGCTGCAGGCGGAAAGATGCGACCCGGAGGCTGCGAGCGCCGGCGGGGCCGACGCGCTACCGGCGGCTGAGTCCGAAGCAGACAGATTTGACGGAATCTTGTGCGCAGGCTGCGGTATGCAGCGGGCGCTGTGCGAGTTTGCTCGAGCCGAGCTCGCGAAGCCGACAAAGCGACGGCAATGCATGCAATGCAAGCCGGTGGTTCGGCGCCTGGCAGGGCATAGGACGTGCAAGCGGTGCGGGAGGTGCAAACCGCAGGCGGATATGGCGCGGGAGCGTCCGCCTGTGTGCAGGCCGTGTTGGAGTAGCACTGCGGACGCGTGACCGCGCGGCAAGCGGGCGGTTGAAGCCGGGGCGCCGGGAAGCGCGCGGAGCGAAGCGGGAGGGCGCGGCAGGACTGGTGCTGGGGGGCTTGAGAGAGCCCTCCTGGGGCGTCAATTTTTGTGCAGGGTTTCAGGGAAAGTTGCGGCGCAGCATCTGCAGTGTAGCAAGGACAAAGACGACCGGCAATTGCACGGTCAGAAAGCAAAGGACGGGAGCAGGCCTGGGTGGGCGGCAGGACTGAGATGCGCTAGTGGCCCGTGTAGGAGGGCAAGACTTGAAACAAGTTGCAGGCAGGCTTGGATCTGGAGCGAGGCATGGAGAAGTGTCAAGTTCAAGGCATGGGAGGAGTCTCAGGTTGTCTTGAACGACCGTGAAGTTTGGTTTGCACGGCTGGGTTCGACGGTCTCCCGGAGGCTTGCGCCAGACCAAGAAGAGCGGCGGGCAACGCGCCAGCCAGCAAGCAGAACGCCCAAGGGACGCTCGGCGGCAGCACCTTGAGAGAGCGCTCAGCAAGTCACATCAGACCCCCAAGGCTTCCATGCAATCCAAAATGTGGCTTGTCTCACTACCTTTGAACGCCCCCGCACAGGGAAGTGCAACAGCAGCCCGTCAGACGCGTTGTGTCAGTTTTAAAGTTAGGTGGTGAAAGTAGATGGATGAGACATCGTTGACTTAACCACGTGGAGGGACATGCGGGGCCTTCCTAAGTCCCGCGGCTCGCGAGTTCAGATCTCCATTTGTCAGGAGAAGTTTGCACCCAATGCCACCTCCCCACACACACCTGAGAGACGACTCAGCAAAGTGACGGACGGCTAGCGCGTGTCCAAGCTGGAAAAAGGGATGCCGGCTTGGGTAGCAACTACCCTTCGTAAATACCGTGCCCAAGGATTTACCCAACGTATCGAATGGGCCTGTGTTCGCTCTGTGTCAGGTTCTTCTTCTTCTTGGAGGATGTTCTTGGCACCTGGGTTTGCTCAAAATCAGGGACCCTACAGATAATTGGCTTCCTTAAAACCATCCAAAAAGGGGTCCGATTCCTATTTTGAGAAGCCCTGACCTAACTACTCAACTTGCGTAGGAATGTCCAGTTGGGTCCTCGGCACCTGATTCCGAACAGGCGATGTGTTGGGGCAAGACTGGCCAAGGGCGGGGGGGCCCGTTGAGGGAGCGACCCGTTATTTCCATGCATTTATCGTGAAATTATCGGGCAACACGGTAGTTGTCAACGTTTCGCACAAGGGATGTCAAAAAACACAGAGTTTTTTCAAGGCTGTCAGCAAAAGGAAGCGCGCAACCCGAGCCGGCAGAGAGGCGGCAGGGGGATTCAAGCCTGGGACCTCTCTCTGCATTGCAGCGTCAGACGGCAGGGGACCCCTATTTTGCGACGTTTAGTGGAACGTCATCAAATTGCCGCGCGGTGCTTGGGGGGGGGGGTCCGGTCCTGTCCCCTCCATGCCGTTCAACCCCCCCTTCATGTCCCTGACAGTTTCTCCGGCATGCCCGCTTCATTGTCCATGTATGTCTCGTTCTTTCGTCGCAAGTCATTTCCCTACATCCCCCGTCGTGCCGATTGGTTTCCTTGTGAGACTCTGCCTGCAATCCCATGTTTTCATTTCTGTCCCTTGCATGTCCCTTTCAGTTCCCTTTTGTTTCCCTGTCATGTCCCGCTGCTTTCCTGTCATGTCAACTTCCTATTTCCTCCCCCCTATTTCCTTGCACTTCCTTGCATTTCCCCTTTGCTCCCCAATATTCCTCGCAAAAAAGCACGGTTTTTCCAGCGTTTTTGTAATCAGGACGTCAAAAAAACACAGTTTTTCCAGATTTTCGAAGAGCCGGCAGGGGGAATCGAGCCTGGGACCCCTGTCTTGTGACACCGGCTCCCCGAAGACTACGTTTAGTGGAACGTCGTGTCCCCTCCATGCCGTTCAACCCCCCCTTCATGTCCCTGACAGTTTCTCCGGTATGCCCGCTTCATTGTCCATGTATGTCTCGTTCTTTCGTCGCAAGTCATTTCCCTACATCCCCCGTCGTGCCGATTGGTTTCCTTGTGAGACTCTGCCTGCAATCCCATGTTTTCATTTCTGTCCCTTGCATGTCCCTTTCAGTTCCCTTTTGTTTCCCTGTCATGTCCCGCTGCTTTCCTGTCATGTCAACTTCCTATTTCCTCCCCCCTATTTCCTTGCACTTCCTTGCATTTCCCCTTTGCTCCCCAATATTCCTCGCAAAAAAGCACGGTTTTTCCAGCGTTTTCGTAATCAGGACGTCAAAAAAACACAGAGTTTTTCCAGATTTTTCCAGATTTTCGGCAAAGGGAGGCAGGAACCCCAAACCAGCAAAGAGCCGGCAGGGGGAATCGAGCCTGGGACCCCTGTCTTGTGACACCGGCTCCCCGAAGACTACGTTTAGTGGAACGTCATCAAATTGCCGCGGTATCAGACGTCGGGTGGGGGGGGGGTAAGGGGGGGGGGTTATCCTCTATCCTCTCCTAGGTGTCCGACACGTGTCCCCTCCATGCCGTTCAACCCCCCCTTCATGTCCCTGACAGTTTTTCCGGTATGCCCGCTTCATTGTCCATGTATGTCTCGTTCTTTCGTCGCAAGTCCTTTCCCTACATCCCCCGTCGTGCCGATTGGCTTCCTTGTGAGACTCTGCCTGCAATCCCATGTTTTCATTTCTGTCCCTTGCATGTCCCTTTCAGTTCCCTTTTGTTTCCCTGTCATGTCCCGCTGCTTTCCTGTCATGTCAACTTCCTATTTCTTCCCCCCTATTTCCTTGCACTTCCTTGCATTTCCCCTTTGCTCCCCAATATTCCTCGCAAAAAAGCACGGTTTTTCCAGCGTTTTCGTAATCAGGACGTCAAAAAAACACAGAGTTTTTCCAGATTTTCGGCAAAGGGAGGCAGGAATGGGGGAATCGAGCCTGCGGCGGTCCTTGGGGGGGGGGGCCCCCCCAAAAATACATAAAATGGCACTTCTAACATCAAACCAAATAATCAAACAGCATACAACAAAATCAGCAAAATTCACAGAAAACAAGATAAGAACCACCAAGCAACTCAAAAACCAGAACAACCCCCAACAAAATATTTAATCAAAGCATAAAACATTAAATAATTCAAACAAGCATACCAACAAAACAGCAAAAATAAAAACCATCAAAGAACCCAATCTCAAAAACACACAAAATCAAAAACAAAGCAACATACCAACAAAAAATATCAGAAGAGTATCAAACAAAATAAAATACAAACAGCCAAAGCACGAAAAAATCAAAAGAGCATGCCAAGTTCAAACAACGCACTTTGAAAGAGACAAGCAAATCAAAAAAATGTAATAATTATCAAAACGAAATATGTTATAGAGTATAAGTATAGTATAATGAAAGGTTATAAAGTTTTACAATGTTAATTTATATTATAATAACATAATATAAATAAACAGTTTTATTCTATTGTTTATCCGAATTCAATCTCACCAGCGATGCAACCACGGCTTCAGCGACATCTTTTGGAGAAGACTGTCAAAGTGCGCCCTGCTGTGTTGTCGGTCAATCCTGCATTTCAATTTCTTCGCTACATGCTTTTTCTTGATGTCAGATTTTTGCTCAAGTAGTTCTACACGCTGTGTTTAGAGACATGGCTTCCTCCTCTGACCAGACCAGTAGCGGTGCTTATCCGGCAACAGACACAAAGAACGACGACAATGATGAGCAACAGGTAAGCCTCATCTTTGACGAGGAGTATGTGAATCAACTAGTCAATGAGAACAAGGCGTTGCGTTTGGTGATAGCCTCCGGGTTTGGCTTTGAAATGCCAGGCACCATTGATGGCATCAAGTCCAACATCACACGCATTACTCAAGCCCTAGATGCACACCAAGAGAAGTTGATGACCCTGACTGCTTCACAGGAACCTGTGCTGTTGGTGAAGTTCATTGACCAACCCACACGGGCAATGCCTTTCACGCCAGACATTCGCCGACCGTTGAACACAGTTGCCCAGTTCAAGACCCACGTTCTGGACTACTTGAACCTGAACAAGAGCAAGACGGCTTACCGGAAGTATGTGTTCCGTGTGAATGAGAACCACTTGATGAACAACAGGGAGAGTTGTCTAAACCATGTGAGACTTGGATACACCGTCTTCGTCAACCCTACCGGGCAAGGTGGCGTCAAGTCCATCAAGAAGGATGAGTCCAACGACATTATGAAGCGAACAATGGTTCATGAGAAGAAGCAAACGCTCCGTGAAGCCGAGTCCAACCTCAATCTGAGCAAGTTCCTTACAACTACCCAAGTGGTGGAAGACGCCAAGGTTCGCCTAACAAAGCTCTACACCGATGCAGAGTCCAACCCCATCAGGACATTTCGGAGTCTCCTTCGCAACTTGCCCACCGACCAGATTGGTACAACCGAGGAAGAGTCCCCTCTACTGAACATCTTCAAGAACAACCGCCCCGACAGTCGCTTGGACAAGGTTGGACGTGCAATCATGGAGCCCAACTACAGCTCGCTGTTTGACTTGTCGGCGGAGGTGAATGGCTTGATGGAAACAGTAGAGCTTACGTTTGATGTTCTGGCTTCGGAAGCGTTCCTTCGTCCTCATGGTGCATGGAACTGGTCAGAGATGAGGAAGGTGATTGTCAGTGAAATCAGTTTTCGCAACGGCGATGAGTTGATGCGTTAATGATGTAGATGTGAAACGAGAAAGAGAGATTCACCTTCCACCATGCCCGTTTTTTCCTTCCACTGTCGGTGGAAACCCTGTAAAAACCAGCATTTCCACCATACACGTCTTTTCTTTCCACCATGAACAACTTTTCCTTCCACCACGCATGTTTGTTCGTTTCATGATGACAGTTTGTGCTTAGCTAGAGTTTCTTAACTTCATGTGGAGTTCTGTTTCTCTCTTTTCTCACCCACATTTGAGACACTCATCTTGTGCTGTGATGTGTGTCTTCAACAAACCGCTAGCCAGAAACCGCTCGCCAAATGAAAAGACCTTTGCAGTTGCAAATGATGACATTCATTGTTAGACTGATTTCCGTATCTTGTTTGTTGTGAAAACACATCTCAGCGCAGGTATTTCATTGACATCCTCAACTACACGACTGTCCTCTATCAGGTAAGGACTGGATGGGCTCGGTGTGTGGCTTTTTTTTTCTTCTGTTTTTCTTTTTTTTTTTTTTTTTTTTTTTGGGTGTGGGTCGTTAGGTTGCCCTTTCGGATTTCCCTCTCGGCGGTTTTTTGGGGTGTGGGTGTGTTTGGTTCTTTTCTGGGTGGGGGTATATATTTATAGTAATATATAAGGGGGAAACTCTCACCATTTTTTGTTGACCTGTTTGACGATTGGCGAGAGTTTCCTGAAATATCTATATGAATATTGGCGTTTTCTAAATTTGATAAACTATGGATTATCCCCTTAAAAATCAATACTTTTCAAATTTTAGAATTCCATTTTTTACTGTTTTGTCGTTGGATGAACCTAGAAATTTCAAGTTTCAAGCCCAACCCCAAACTCAAAAATCCTTAATCCGTCAAACTCACCAAGATTTCACAAATTAATTCGCTAGGTATTTTATATAGGTCTTCCTGCTTATGTATTGTTGGATTGTCTCCCCATTTTTCCTTAGTGCCCGATGGTAGCCGTTGTGCTGTTTCAATATGTTTATTATTCCTGATGTTGCCACAATCCTTTTTACATAAATCTCTAGGTTTCCAAGTTGTAATGTTATTCCAAAGCCTAGTTCTCTTTCTATAATTAAATCCATATTTACAATAATCTACATCTTTAAATTCAAACTCATCCATAAACTCCTGATTTTTTAATAATCCAGTTTGAGGATTTTCGATTACAAAATATTTAGGATTAAAATATTTAATAATTTCAACAGTTTTTAAAACTATACTATTAGCATATTCAATGTTTCTTATTCCCCTAGTTTTTGCTACACTATATTCAGTGCATGGGGGACTACTCCAAATAAAATCAAAATGGTTCCTATCAAATTGTTTATAATCCCATTTCAAAATATCAGTATTTATATCAGCATTTTTCAAATCCAATGAAATAACATTGAAACCGAGCGACTTTGCAACAAGTCCAACACTGCCTGTTCCGCTAAACATCTCTAATAAGTTCATTATTAAAGATATTTAGATAATATTATCTTTGAATAAAAATCCCTGTTTCCTCGTTAAAAACTAAACTATGTTTAGTTTTCAATGAGTAAATACAACTTTATGAATAAAGTTGCGTTTCCTCGTCATAGTCAATTTGATAAAATGTCATAGTTGAAGCCTTCGGTTCTTTAATTTCTTTGTTATTAAGTTTGTTTAAATAAATATTTCTTTTATTTTTATATTCAGCTCTGGTTCTATCTACTTCCTGACTTTGATAACTGTTTGTTAGTGGTTTCTTCTTTTCCATTTCTTGTAAGATTTCTAAAATATTCTTATTCTGTTCTAAAACCTTGTTCAGTTTTTTAACAATCTTATCTAATCCTTCATCCATGTAAATATATACTAAATTATAAAACTAAACTTTTAAAACTAAATGTTGCAATTATGTTAAATCTACTCTTTAAATACTAATTTTTCATTATTTGTTTAACAGTTTCTTGTGTTTCCTTATCACCATTATCGGATGGTGATGCATGCCTTCCCCATTTGATAGCAATATTATGAACATCTGTTTCTAAGTTTATACTGTCTCTAGTTTTATCAATATTCATTTTCTTATCATTTCTACTTATTTTGAAACTTGTTGGAATACACGAACATTTACAGTTTCCTTTCTTTTGTATTTCTAATTCATTTTTCATTTCTAAGATTTTTTTACACATTGGACAAGCAAACTCAATAACTGATGTTTCTTTAACAATTTCTTCTTTTTCTTCATCGGTTGAAGAAACAACTGATTCTGTCTTATTCTTTTTCTTTCTCCCCATCTATATTAATATTTATATTTTTAATATACTGTATTCCTAACTTAATTAATTCTAATGAATAATAACAACATTTCTTAATTTTATTATCGGTTATTATTACTTGTTCTATATTTTCTACTTTATCTATTATATCAATATAATCCGAATAACTTCTATTCATATAAAATAATAAATATAAAATATTTTCTAAATAACTTTAATATTATTTTATTATGTCAGATGTTCCAATAATAAAACCAATAAATATAACTGATTACGATTTCAAACAATCTAAATATGAACATGTACCAAAACTACCTTTTCGCTCAATTGTTGTTGCTTCATCAACGGGTGGCAAAACAGTTTTAATTCAAAACCTTATCCTAAATGTTTATAGGGACTGCTTCGCCCGTATATTCATTTTTAGCCCGTCGGTTCATAATGACCCTACCTTCGTTGAAGTCAAGAAATATCAAAAAGATAATATGAAGGTTGATGATGAAAAAGAAAAGTTATATTATGACACCTACCAACCTGAAGAACTGGAAGAAATAATTAACACACAAAGAAAGATAATTCATTATATGAAAGAACAGAAGATGAAGAAACTACATTCAATTTTAATCATTGTTGATGATTTTGCAGACGACCCTAAATTTGTTAGATACAGTAAGTTATTACATGGACTGGCAACGAGAGGCAGACACGACGCCATTAGTTTTTGTTTAAGTGTTCAAAAATATCGTGTCCTTGCTCCAATCATTAGGTTGAATTCTAGTTCGTTGTATATCTTCAAGTTAAAGAATGTATCAGAGTTAATGTCATTCATCGAGGAAAACTCCGCCATCGTTGATAAAGAGCAACTGTTAAATATGTATCATAAAGCGGTAGATGATAAGCCCTACTCCTTCTTTTATGTTAATATGAATTCCAAAGATGTTAATAATATGTTTTATGTTAGATTTGAAAAAGCATTTAAAATAAAATAAATATATTATATATATTATGGTATTTTATTATTTACCAATAGAAATTAAAAACATTTTAATATCGTATATTTTAGATGATGTTAGATTATTAAAAATAAAAAATAATAATATTATTAAAAAATATATTAATAAATTTAAACCAGTGTATAAGTCTTACAAATTAAATAATATGCAATATTTTGAAATTGATAATATCAATATTAATAATGGTATATCATATATTTTTAACTTAAGTGAGTTAGATAAATTACATCAAAATCATAAACCATTAAAATTATTAATTGAATACGATATATTAGCTACATCTACCTCATTTACTTGTTTGAATTATGTTCGTAATCGTACTTTAACATCAAATAATTTATTTGATATTTATTATTTTCTTAATAAAGACCTTTATGAAACTAATTTAATGTATAGCCGTAATATGGTTAATTTTATTTCATTACAAGTGAAAAAAATAACCATTAAAGTCATCAATTATGAAAGACAAAGTTTTATTAGTAAATTTTATTCATATTTGTTTAATTAATAATGTTAATGAAATCATATTAATATTATTAATTTAAATCAATGAAGCGTTGCATAAATTCAACGCAGGTAATTTATATAATAGTTTGTCCGATTTTTGATTTTCTAACTTTTCTATTCTCGCTACACATTCTTTAATAGATTTTATTATTAAAGTATCCGCTCTTGTTTTTTCATCTACTCTTAAATTCTTAATGTCTTCCATGCTGTTATTTTCTTCGTTTTTACTTTGACCAAGACCCATTATATATTATTATTTAGATTTTTCTTTTTTCAATTCCTTAACTTCTTTTTCAAGTTTATCTATTTTATCATTTAATTCTAATACTGCTTTATGAACCAACACGGGTAAAACTAAATAATTTAATCCTAAATATTCTCTGTCCTGACATACAATATTTTCAAACTCTTTAGGAATTGCTTTCAATACTTCATCTGCGATATATCCTATATGAGTTTTACCACCATCATTTCTATCGTGTCTCTTAAACTTCTTTGGCTTAAATTTCTTAATAATATTCATACAGTTAGATTTGACATTGTCTATGTCATATTTCAACCGCGAATCAGATGAATCAACAAACGTTCCGTTAATCGTAACGGTTGTTGCTGTTAAATCTATATTTGTCCCTGTTGCTGGCTCAATTAAATTACATAACAATTTCTTCGTTCCTGCAACTTTTACATTTTCATTGAATGTTGATGAGGCATTATTTGTAAAACTTCCAGTATTTACTGTTGTTCCAAATGTCTTATCAATAGATAATAAAACTGAGGGTGTAGTTGAACTATCTGAAACTCTGAACGCCGTGTTTGACGTTCTGAATATTACATCAATTGTGGATAAATTAGTTCCATCATAGTAAGTTGATATTTCACTTGTTCCCATTAATATATCTGTTCCTGTTGTCATTGAAATATTATTCAAAAATGAAACCGTTGTTAAATCAAATGATTGAATGGTATTAGTTGCTAAATAAGCATTTTGAACTGCTAAGTTAGTATCAACGGTTATTAATGTTCCTCCGTTAGGTGCTAAATGATTGCTTCTTAATGCTCCCCCGCTTTTAACATAAATATTGTCTGCAAATAAATTACCCATTACATCAGCAGTAGAAGTGTTAAAAGTCCATCCTGTAGAAACATTAACTGCCCCAACTATGTTAGACTGAACAGCGGGGTCTCCACAAATAAATCTAATTGAAGAATTAGCATCGGTATTTCTCATATCAAAAGAT